ATTTTTAAGATTGTAGTGTTTATTCTTGTTGGAGTTATAATTTATGAACACATTCATTTTGACTGCTTATTTTTTATAATAAATCTTTCTGACTTATACAGAAATATGTAATAAAAATTATAAGTCCTCTGCAGTCTACTTCTGAGAGATGATAGTTTTGGCTGTGTCTTTCTGATTTCTTTTTAATGCCTATTCTAAATAAATTTGTACCAGCTTTTAAAAAATACTATTGTTTTTAAGTAATAAAGGCTAATTGGAAGTTCTGTATGCATTTTTTTATTTTGTTTTAAAATAATTTTAGATTGACAGAAGAGATTCTAAGATAGTACAGAGACTAGATACTCTTCACTCAACTTGCTCTAATGTTAACATCTTATGTGACCATGGTATATTTGTCAAAACCAAGAAATCAACACTGATACTATACTATTAATTAAACTACAGACAATTCAGATTTTACCAGTTTTTCATCTAATGTCTTTTTTCCTGTTTCAGGATCCAGCCTAGGGCACCATGTTGCATTTAGTGTATTTACTTTAATTTTCTTATATTTGGAATACGGTGACCTTTTATCACCAACAATTTTCTTTACATCTTTAATTTATGATCACACAGGAAGAGAATATAAAGGATTCATCAGGTCAAGAGGATGAAACTCAGTCTTCCAATGATGATCCATCACAATCTGTTGCTTCTCAAGATGCCCAGGAAATAATTCGCCCACGTAGATGTAAATATTTTGATACAAGTAAGTGCTATTGATTGCTATAGTTCGGATATAATTTTTACTCTTTAATACACATGGCCTGACATTCTGGTTGGGTTTTTTTTTTTCATTGCTCTCTTTTAATTCATTTATTCTGAAATCTTGCTCAACAAAAATGGGATTTTGTTCAACGTTATTAGTTAGCATGCTGGGCCCTGTTGTCCATGGATATACTAGAGTAATTGTTGTGTCATTATACTACTTGGTTTTGAGTGCGCTCCTTTTCCTCTGACCCATTTTTAAATTTAGTTTGTTTCATGATCATCTTTTCTTATTTCTCCTAGTCTTCTCAGTTTTCATTTTCTACTTTCTTTGCCTTCTTAGCCTTTATTAGATAAATTTATAAGCATTGCTTTCTCTAATCAATGGCTCCTAGATCTAAAGAAATGGTTGACTCTTCAGGTAGAAGTATGTTATACATAATTTTTCTACAGTTGTGATCTAGTCAGAAATGACCAGAAGTTGAGACATTTCATCTATCTTGAACATTTGCATGCTTCATCTGCTCCGCAGTGTTTCATTCTAAGCAGGAATCATAAGTCAGCTCTTTGATAAGGAAAACTCACTTTCTGTTATTAGCTTAAATTTGTGGTCGAAATTTCTATACTTTAAAAGGAAGAAAAGTACTTGAGGAACAATAACTCATGACATGTAGTGATGTAATAACTGCTTAAACATGGCTACTGCTTTGTATGAATGATTTCTGTTACACATTTAGTTTAGAAATGAATGTAATGCTACTAATAATTAAGTTTTGATTAAAGATATGGTCTAATTAAAAAGTGAACCAATGCAAGGAGAAATTAATTACTGAAATAATTGTGTTAAGTTTAAGTTTGGGGAATGTATTCATCCCTTAATGAGCAGATCAGTTGCCAAAGTGGGATGCTAAGTGACTACCTCTTGAAACAATATTTATTTCATACTTCTTATATTTCAGTTCTCATGATGCTTAGAAGCTGTACATAGACTACCTATCTTAGTTTTTTGCATAGGAAGAATTAATTGCTATATGTAATGTTACCCTTTTGAACTTTGTGTACCATTTTAGAGTTTTCAGATTTCCCACTTCTTTCTGTAAATACATTCTTACTTCAAAATATAAACATAAAGCAACTTGCTTGCTCTGAATTAAACAGAGGTTGGGAAGAATGGAGGTCTTCATACATTACCTTCCCTTCAGGTGCTTCCCTCTAAAGTGATGCTGTAAAGTTCTCAGTGATTCAAGGAGCACTGTTTGGAAACCACTGTTTTGTCCAAAGTCTCATTTATAAGGAAGAAATTGAGATCATATAATTCTGTCACCAGGCTGTTTGTAGAATTAGATTTAGAAAACAGGTTATTTTGATTCTAAAACAATTATTTTGCTCAAGTTTTTTAGGAAATAATTTAACAAGATTACAGTTGTCTAAGATTAGTATTGTCCTAGAAGGTTTATGGGTTTGTTTTTTTGTTTTTGTTTTTGTTTTTTTAACTGATAGAGTATTATTTGATTAGATGTTTTTGTTTTTTTAACTGATAGAGTATTATTTGATTAGAAATATCTTGGCCTAACTCTGCAAATATGTTTAGGCATATATAAACATTTTGATGGTAGATATAAAAGTAAAATACATAAATACAGATGTGGACAGGATAAGCAATCATTTTATAGTATTATTGTCTTACTTATTCTAGATAGCGAAATAGAAGAAGAATCTGAAGAAGATGAAGATTATATTCCATCAGAAGACTGGAAAAAGGTAGTTAGAGCCATATTTTCCAAGAACTTAGATAAATTAACATTTAAAAAGTCAAGTGTAATTATTCTTTTACTATCTGTATATGTTGATAAAGTTGAGGTAAGCCCTTCTGTGACATTTAAATGTCAGGTAGATGTTCAGATTTCCCCTAATACATTAAGATGAGAAAAGTATTTATCTTTTTATAAAATAAATTGGTATAGAAAGAATTAGCCTTTGTGGAGTAAGTTGGTCCTCAAACAAAGATTCAGAATCCAAATTTCAGAACTAGTACTGAATTAGACTTACGTTGCAATGTAGAAAATACTACATATTTTATACTTGGGAAATCAATTGTAGAGGCTTCGGTACTTGATAAGTAAATTTTGTTTAATAATTTAGATACAAATTTTTCCATGTTATATTCACATTGATATTTACAACCCTAAGTATATTGCATGAAGAGATGGATTTGGGCTTCTCTAAAACTGCATACTTAAATGTTAATTTCTAAGACGAATCTAAAGATAGTATATTGACACAAGTTTTAAATTATAAAATTGTATAACATTGTTTAATCGGACAATTACATTGAATTAATTTTAAGCTGTTGCAAAGCAATTGACTTATGAAAATTTATCAAAATGTCTTGTAAAATTATTTAGAGCAAATTGTTTGTATAGAAGAAATTAGGTCATTCTTGTTGAGAGAGATCACTTGATTTTCCTCTTAAAAACTCCATTGAGTTTTTTGTTGCTGTTCTCTTTCCTAGGTCTGATTTTAAATTTAGTGCATATAAACCATCATTTCTTTGAAGGCAGAATAGCCCAGAACATCAAATTGAGTGGGCTATCTTAAGTCATGATTATTTAATAAGTACTTCTTAAGTCATGATTGTTTAATAAGTTAATACTTTTGAATTTTCCCTGTATGTATGTATGTCTAAGTAGTTTTAAAGTTGTTGTTTTGGGATGCCTGGGGTAGACTTAAAAAAGAGGGGACCCCCCTGCTGATTAAAATAAGGGAATATATTTAGAGTTTCTGTTAGGAAGAATAAAGTATTCAGTTGAACTTGGACTGAGCTACCCAAGGATTTTGGAGTTCAGCCAGAATTGATCTAGTTATGAGTTTCCAGAGATGTTTAGAAGAGAGACATCAGTTTGAGTTAGAATGGTATGGGAAGGTTAGCTCAGTATAGTATATATTAATTCATTTAAGTGAATGCTGAATAAATAATAGGACTGAAGAAAGAAAACAAGAGTCACAGAAGTTACTCTTTGTGCGACCTGTTTGGGCAAATGGTTTTTAGTCCATTTTTTCCCTGACTTTTACATCACGCAGACAGAAATTAACATGATAAAAATCTAGAAATCTTGGGAGTCTTCTTAAGCTGATATTTTCCACCACACGTTTAAGTTTATATATCTTTTCTCCAACATAAGTTAATTATTTTTGTATCTGGAGTGTTTAGTATAGTAGTTAATTAAACATTATTATTTTTTTTTAATGAAGGAACAGAAATCTCAGAGGAGGGAGAACGGGGGGGAGGTGAAGCCTTCTTTGCTAGAAAGTATTAGTTTTTTCCTCAGGAAAAGTATGTAATAAAGCAGACCATCAGACCATGATAAATCCAAATTGTTTTATTTTATTAGTATGATTTTGTTGCAGTAAAAAATTTTCCAGATTCAGAAATTCATTTTCTAGGGCTTATAAGATAAAATCGAATTTTTATAGTAACTAGGGCAGAACAAACAGCTTTGAAATCAAACCCGAGTTCAAGTTATAGCCCTGAAACTTACTAATAGTATGTTGAAGAAATTAAATTAATTTTGAGTTTCATCTCTTCGCATACAATATGGGAATAACAATTTTAGTCTTGTCAAAGTTGTTGAGGATCTAATGAAAATTACACATAAGATACTTGATACATAATACTCTTAAGTGCTATTTCCCTTCCCTTTCCTACAAACAGATTAGCAGGTGAAAAGAAGTGTTGTTTTGAACTCAATATGAAAAAAGAGTTATCTTTGTAGTATTTCAGAAGTTCTTAGCTGTGGTTTTATGTTAGAATCTTGGAGGACTTTTAAATATCTTCCTCCAGAGATCGTAATTTAATTTAATCATATCCAGGCTCCTATCTGTTATTAACTCATTCATTCTAATCCAGACATTGAGATTTTTAGAAATGCCCCAGCCAGGGTTAATAACTTGACTATCTATTCTCTGGTAGGCATAGATGAGTAAAGTTAAAAGAGGCACAAGAAGTGACAATAAAGTACTCCTTTTTATATTGAAAGACAAAAAAAAAATTCTTATATAACAGTAGAGAAAATTTCTGTAATACTCTTTTTAGAAAACTGGCTGGTTTTCCAACACAGGTATAGCAATAAATTTATTACATTGAGCATGTATTTGAATTTATAAATTCAGATAAAATGAAATTCTAACATCAGTGAGGTTACAGCCAGAGAGAGGAACTTTTCAGACCCTAAGAATTATTTAAATTTAGATCGATCCTTTTGTAGTTCATAAGCATGATGATGGTGTGTTCATGCTGTTGTGTGAGCTGCACCTCCCTCAGACCTTGTTCCGGCATTAACACATTTCCCGTCTAGCGTAAAAAAAAAAGAAAGAAAGAAACTTACACCATGATTTTGTACCTTTCCTGCCTATGTCTTTATTTTGAAAATGCAGTAAATTTATTTTAACATTTAGCAAAAGAAGGTCTGTGTAATCTTGGTCCCTATGTGTTGTAAAATCTCATTAGTGGTGATCTCCAATGTCTGTCTTTCTGAACAGCCAGTTTTCCCTAATCTGTGATTTGACTATATGGTTCGATTACCAAATTTCCTAAAATAAGATTTAATTATGTTTTGGGGAGGTTACTTTTTCATTTTGTATTATTTTAACGAAAGTCAGGCACTAACTTGCTTATTTATTCATTTGGTTTGGCATTTCATCCATTTTGACCTCTACTGAGCTTTCTACAATTTTCCTTTATCTTAAAGCTCTGGTTCTCAGACTTAAGTGTATGTCACAATCACCTGGAGAGCTTGTTAAGTTCTGGTTCAGTAGGTCTGGAGGAGGACCTGAGCATTTGCATGTCTGTTAGTTTCCCAGGTGACCTGAAAACTGCCGATCTAGGAACCCTAGTTTAGAGTATACTCTGAAAATATCTAAATTTGACTTCGTTTTTTAGTGTTTGCAATTATCTTATTAATTTAATAGTAAGAATTTTTTTTTAATTTTGAAGTACTTTGTATCCATTGACTGTTGCGTTTCACCCCATTATTATTACTAATATTTTCATCCAATCATATTCAAGCTCCTATCTATTATTAACTCATTCATCCTCACAATACATCTCTGAGGTAGTTAATTGGTTTTATCTGTATTTTATGACAGAAACCAGGAACAGTTTACCCAAGAAGATGATGATGCTTGAAATGGATATAAAATCTGTTACTACATCTTACTAATGTTTTATGTTATTTTTAAAATAGGAGATTATGGTGGGCTCCATGTTTCAAGCAGAGATTCCAGTTGGCATTTGTAGATACAAAGAAAATGAAAAAGGTGGGTTATTAGTAAATTTAATGATTGAATTCATGCTTTTGAAGTGATGAACTATTTTATAATGGGATAAGAACATGACAGCTTATGTTACTCCATTGATTTATGAAAAAGAACCCTGTAGTTCTATTAAGAAGAAATAAATTTTCTGTTTTTACAGTTTTGTTCATATAAGTCTAGTGAAAAAGTGAATTCTTTTTTGGTATTAAGTGACTTAAAACAATCCAACTTTTTTCCCCCCATATTTTAAATACTCTAAATAAACCCATTTATAACCTGTATAATTTAGATTTTAAAAATTATTTTATGTCAGTGGGAGCTGTTGGACAGGTTTAAAAACTTGAGTAAATCAAAATAAGCATATTTGTTTCTGCAACTTTTACTGTTATTACCTACTAAAATTGAGTACTTTGATATTTGTGCATTTAAAATATTTTGAGGAAACAACTTGTATACTTAAATTTTACATAGGTTTTTTTTTCATCCTTTTATCAAAAAGTCCTAAGGTAAGTCACAAATACTGAAACTTCCAATAACGTAAAATAATTGAGGATTTTTATTTTTATTTTTTTATTTTTTTGAGCTTATTTCAGATTATTCACTTTGGGTGAGCTTGAGAAAAAGAGAGAGAGGGCGTGAGTGAGTGAGAGAGAGAGGGAGAGTGTGTGTGTGTATGTGTGTGTGTGCGCGCGCGCGCAGTGAGCTCCTATGCATTGTGACATCACTCAATACCAGAAATCTCTTCATTTTTTTAAATTTCATTTTCTTCTCCACATTTCAAAATATATATGCAGAGCCTTCTAAAATTGTAGAAGTCTTTTGTTGTTTGATTATAGCATTCCTTCCAAAAATTTACTTTAAATTCTAACTGTGTACCTGCTTTTAAGGCAAGCAGTAAATCAGAGACAGTTAAGGGAATACCACAGGCCAGTAAATTCTAGTAACAGCAAAAATGTTTTAACATACCAATAACTGCTTGTACTCACTTTCAGGTTAATTAATTCCTGTAACATTAAAGGTATGAATATGGGGTGACCTTGTTATATAGAGATATTCTGTGCATATGTTTTGAGAATATATTGTAATTATATACAAAATTAAATAATCCATTAACTTTTGTATTTATTTTTTGTAATTGAATTTTGGATGTTATACTTTACTTATATATTATATAATGGTTAGTACATGTTCACCATTAAATTCTTTGTTTTCAAATAAAAAACAAGGTTAGATATTTGTTCCATTTTATTAAATTCTTTATTAAAGAAATTCCATTACAAACTTGTTAAATTTTAACTTGAAAAATAGCAGTTTTTGTCTTTGAAAATTGTGTTTTTTGTAAGTAGGTAGGTAAAACAGTTCAGTTTTATCTATGGCAAGTTAGTACTATGGCTAAATATAGTTTTTTTATCTTTTAATAAGTTTTATCTTTTTATTTTAATATGTTTGTATTATCAGATATCGGAGTGAATAAATGATCACAATCTCTGATCTTTAAGGGTTTATATTTTGGTTTAATGTTTTCAGTTTTACCGTAATTTTAGAAAGCAATTATATTTAATTTTTTTCAGGAAAATCAGTGATTTATGAAGCTTTCTCTCTTTGAGAATTTAAGTGTATTAGATTGTGTAAGGATCAGATTTAGATTTAGCAGGGCAATGCTGTCTCGGAGGGGTCACTGTGGTAAAAAGAGCCTCTCCTCAGCTTTATAGTTACAAGAATTCAAACTAGTCATGATACCTAGAATTTGCTTTCATTTAGGTTGCTCTAATTGAAACAAACCAAACTTGTGAAACTACTTACTATGTAAACCACACTGTTAGAAATAAAGCTGTCAAAGGGTTAGTGCTGATTAGTGCATTCTTATAGAAAAGTATTTTTATCGGCTTGATGAGCACACATTCAAAAGGGAGAGCATTTGGTTTGGCTGATTTTGATAAAAGTGCCATAAAACTAAGATATTTCGATATCTTCACTGTAGAAATTGTTTGGCAGATGGATTAGAATTTTTTCATTGATTCAAGGAAACCCTATTGACTGTCCTGGAGAGACATGGATAAATTTTTTCTCTATGATGTCTATTTTTTTTTACTAGGCTCTATGCAGATTATATATTGCTTATCAGTTATCACTCATAATTCAAAAAATTATATTAAATAAGATTTATTAGTTATAGTCACATTTGAGACATCTTCCTTTGAACCTGTATCTATTTTGGTCACAGAACCTCAACTATACATTAACATTTTTTTAAATTTATGTAAGTCATTTATTCTCAATGCAGTATAATTACTTGCTTATTCATCTTTGCACCCATAATACCTAGAATGATCCATGTCACATAGGCACTTAGTAAATGGTGGCCGAATTATTAGGTGGGTACAGAATAGTGTTAGCAGAACTGAGTCAATAAACTTGCATCAGTATCTAGGCATTTGACCCTTGGACATGTTATTTAACTTGTTATTCTCATCTATAAAAGAGCTATAATAGAGCATTTATTGATAGAGCTTGTTGTGAAGATTTACATGTGACATTTTTATGAGTAGCACTTACTATGTCTGGCACATAAATGGCATTTACTAGTCAGTAAATGATTAATCTTATCTATTTAGGTTTTAGTATTCAGATTTTCAAAAAGCATCAGTTTATGCTCTTTTGCTTCCAAGTAACAAAAACTTCATTCAATTTAACTTTAGCAAAAAAGAATTTACTTGATTTCTTTACTGGAAAGTTCTGGCTTCCAATATAACTGTATCGAGGAGTTCTTATTTTATCAGGTGTCCCCTTCCTCTCCCTCTTTCCTTTATTGCCAGACAAACTAAGATGGCTACTGGGAACTCCTGCCTTATACTTTACACTGTCCTTATAGCTAGAAAACCAGCAAAAATGAAGACTTCTCCACCCCTCTTTGCTCCTGCAAAAATTATGGAGAGCCTCTGTTGACTCAGCTTGAGTCATATACCCAGCTAGAAGTAATTACTGTGTCCAGAGAGATGAGTGAGTACCTTTTTTCACCCTGGCTCATTTATCTGTTTTGGAGCTCCTAGGTTTGTCAGCTCCACTCAGCCATATAGAAAGGGTTTAATTCCCACAGAATTGCTGTGCGGATGAAAGGCATGATTTTTCAAAGCTATGTATGTGCTGTCACTTCCATGTACTACAGAGTAAACACTGCAACTTTGTTATGAGACTAAATAATTCGAATGTTGGCAATCATCCTACAATGCACCAGAACCAGATTGCACCTCCCCATCCCCACCACTAAGAATCATCTGGCTAAAAGTGTCAGTGCTGAGATTGAGAACCCTAGACTAAGTTAATTTAGAATTAGATGGGCTACTTAGGAAAAAATAAAAATTAAGGTACAGGGTATTCCTAGTCAAATGTTTATGCTTGCATGATATAAGTTTTAGAGTAAGTAAGTGATAGGTAGGAATTATGAAGCAGTATATAACAAAGGACTGTGGAAATGGTTGTTTCTAATGAACATTTGACAAGTTGATTCTTAAGTTACTGAAAACTGAACACGTGCTTTACCCTTAGTTGATAATAATACTGTTGAAACAGGCATTTCATTTAACCTATATAGGTTTCCCTCACTATTCCAAAAGCAGAGAGTGCCTCTGAAACCTTTCATGACCTGAAACGGCTTAAAGCCAAGAAGCAATTACAGTAATGTACCCCGCTTCACAGGTGATACATTCTCAGACCACCCCCACAGTAAAACCATAGATAGTACCAAACCCTGTAGATACTATGTTTTTTCTTAATACATACATACCTATGATAAAGCTTAATTTATAAATTAGGCATAGTAAGAGGTTAACAATAATGAATAATAAAAAAATTATAACAGTATACTGTAATAAAAATTATGTGAATGTGATCTCAAAATATCGTACTGTGTTCACCCTTCTTGTGAAGATGTGAGATGATACAATGTCTACATGATGAGTTGAAGTGAGTGAGGTAAATGATGTAGATATCTTCTGACCACAATTGACAGCAGGTAATTGAAGCCACAGACAGCAAACCATGTAT